ATCATCATCATCATCATCATCATCATCATCATCATCATCATCATCATCATCATCATCATCATCATCATCATCCTCATCCATTGTTACAGGGAATAGGATACACGCAAGTCATTATCACATCATGGATTGATGGCATGTCTTGGCGGGAGTTGGGAATTGACTGGGCTTTGATAGGCTTTGCCACATGCCAGCTAGTTGTTTTGCTGATCCTTTTTAAGTCATGAGTTACATATCACGAACACGTTTGTGCAAAATCCGCTTGAAGGATCATAGCCTGGGGCCCAAGTCCATCTCACCAATTCGAACCGCCCCACGCCCCGAAACCTCGCTCGCAGGCGGCGTTCATCACGGAAGTCTTGGGGGCCGACCGTGTGGTGGTGCGCGGGGACGACATCGACAAGGAGATCGCAGGCGAGGTCGAGGTCGAGGTCGAGCTCCATGTGACTGCAGAAAAGGAAGGGAATGAATGTATACCTGGAACATCCTGCAACTTCCTCAGTGCTTTTTGTTGGATTTGCTGCGCGAAAGCCATCCTTTGGAGTCACAGCCTCATGTTTGAGTTTGCGGTCCGCAGTTGTTTCTTTAGTTTCTGACTTCTGTTTTGATATTCCACAGGCGTTTCTACACAAGCTACGGGCGTCTATTGGTGAGCCACCAGCGTTTGTACCTGAACGTTACTTTTCAGCGTTTGCTTGTTTCGGTTTCGGATGTTTATGTGGCTCACAGACCTAAATGTGTTGAACTACCGACCCCCCCCAAAAAAGAAGCAACCATGAGGTTGCAGGTAATTTATGTTATAGTCGTTATCCTGGAGTGAATATGGGAACACCAGTGGGAAAATCAACAACAATCATTATGACCATGGTCATTTCCTTGGATTGGATTGGTTTATATATTCTATGGTATCCTATTTAGTCCAGGATGGTTGTAATTAGACACCTGACTGCATGGTACACCTGTGGATTACCAGTTAATATTTGCATCACCCGCCCTTACCAGAATTGTGTTGCATGTACCCTGCAGACTATGAGATGTTTAGTCATCAGCTGTCTCTGTTGGAGCAGTGTTGTTCGGACCAGCTCTGCTTGAGATCCTCTAGCCTTATGTTGAGGAAGTAAAGCTTCCACTGGGGGCGCTTGAGAGATGTTGAGAGGTCCAGGCCAGCAAGGACCGCCCCGAGGGGATTCCAGGCCAAGCTTCATTCGGCTAAACATAACTATAGCCCAATCGGTCGCACCGCTGGGCAGCCATTCTTCCGTTCTGTGTAATCATGGTTGTTCGGACAGGGCACTGAGCATATCAGAAAAGGGGGACAACATCACGCAGACTTCTTGTTTCATGCTGCTTCTGGTTGTCATTGGTTCATTCACTTTTTGGAACAAGCTGGTTTCCTGTATAGTTCTGCTGGATCGGGAGGTGTCTTTGCCATGTCATTCTGGGTCTTCAATGTCCTTAGCCTTAGTCGCGGTCGCCACCTGCGGATCTCAAAAGCATGTCATGGCCCAATGGGAAAGAAGGGCTCTGCAGAAGCAAAGACCCATGTGACAAGCAGGAGAGGAACAAATATGAACACATAACACCATGCTAACATTCTTTTGCAATTGCTTGACGCTTAATATGAAAACCTTCATTCCCTAGGCTCACCTCCTCCTCCATCCTTGCAACCGCCTCCCATCTGCAAAATGGATCGTCAGTTGGATCGTCATGGCACACCCAGTGGCACACCCAGTAGCACCATCAGCGTCTTCTCCCCACAGCGTCCACACCCCCGGTCGTAGCATCAGCCGAGCGCGTCCGCGTCCAGGCCGCAATGAGGAGCTGGCCGAGTTCGCCAAGCACCGCTTGGACAGCCGCCTGCATGCCACGCAGACGAGTCGCCGCCGTGCGGTGCAGTGGCGCCGGCAGCAGACGCCTGGAATGAGGGAGGTCGAAGGAGGGAAATTCGGGAGGTGAGAGGGGGGGTGGGCTCGCAGTTTTTGATTTTCATCACATGTAGAGGGTGAAAAACGAAGGGTTCAAGTCCAATTGGCTTGGTTCGTATCGGGCTGATAGCGTGGTGAGGATGGCTGGGGTTGTTAGCTGGAGACCTTGTACCCGCTTCCTTGTTGAGGATCGAGAAGGAGACCTTGTACCGCGCCAAGTGTCGGGCCTCGGTGGTGGTGCACGACCGGCCCGAGGACTCCAAAGGCCGACGGAGAGGGCGAACGGGTCGGGGTCGTGGGTCGGGAGTTGAGTGGACGGAAAGGGTGTGTTTAGTGTATCCTTTAGGGTGTGTTTAGTTTAGTGTGTTTAGTGTGTGAAAGTTGACCTTTCACCTTTTTGTTTAGTGAGGGAGCCCCTCTGAGGGAGTGAGTTTCTTTGGCTGAAAAAACATCGCTTGGAGGTTCTTGATGAGATGTAATGTTGTTGTTTGGGATTTAGAGTTGTGCTGATCCAAACATGAAGGTTGTGCTTGTGTGGGGCATGTCAAATGGCCCAAGCTAGCCGTAGGAGACACCTTTGTTATGACTCATTCATGCCAGTAAAGTCAGATGGTCCATGTCAAAATGTGTTCTTTTCATCACTCGCCTCACCTCAACATCGTCGTGGGCCCACACACCCACACCCACGAAGCTTCCGCCAGACATGCCGGAGCATCACACGGACAACCGGCGGCCTGCACCGGGCATGTGCTTTTGACTGATTTTGCCGGGGCGTGTCAAGAGAGGTCCCCAACGGCGGGCTTTGGGATGAACATCGTTGGAGATGTAGGTAGACCCCAGTTCTTTTCTCCCTTCTTTTGGGAGGTTTTTTGTGGTTCCACTAATTATTGATGTTTTCACTTTTTGAGGCACACAAGCAGCAAACTACCTATACCTCCCTGCAACGGAAGTGGACTTCACCCCCTCTTGGTAGAGGAATTCCTCGTCTTCCTTTCAGGGGCCTCAACGTCCACGGGAGGGTGACCAAGGGTGCTGGAACCAACAGACGCACGGAGCAGTGGCCTTTGGGAAGAATCAGCTTTTTCCGCTTCCCTGTTAGGAAGTCGGAGGCTGCTGCCCGAAGCTGCGCCACCAGGGGCATAACAATAAGGGTGTCAAGACACTTCTTAGTGCTCAGTTGCCCATTTGTGCTGGTTTGATGAGCATGCAACTGAACAACTATGGCGAAGACATTCCTTCATCCAAAGTCACATACGACATAGATTCCGATATCAGGTACCTAGGTCAGGAATTTCCTAAAGAGGCTTCCCGCTACCCTTTTTCAGGAGATTTTGTTGGAAGCATTGTGGAGTGAATGTGGGTGAACATGGATACCCTGACCCTCCAACGTGACTCACGTGACCTCAGCTCGCGAGAACCGGGTGCGACAAACACCGGGTGGTTTGTGCTGGAACAAGTTGACTACGACTATGACTATCACAATTGTTTGTGTAGTCATAGTGGGTCAACGTGTAGTCGATGACTCTTTTTCCCTATGGTTGACTTACAGTGGTACCGGCACAGACCCCATGATGTCCTAGACAGATGGGGTTCCATAATGGCACCACCGACATTGGGGTCTGTGCCATCTACTCTCAATCCACTGTAAGTCGACTATGACATATACTATAACTGTTGACATCACCAATGGAATTCTTGCGTTCAACTTCCGACTTTGGTCCGGACGAACATATTTGGTTTGAGAAGAGAGGGAAAAGATCCATGTTGCCATGGCTTTTGGGCGGCCCAGCACCAAGCAAAGCACCGAGGCTCGATGTCCCGTCCGCACCGAACCTCCACACACGATGATCCGTCTTGGTGGAGGTCTCAATCCCATACACTCCATGGGACTGGAATATATACCGATCAAGCCATTACTACATGGTGCGATCCATGGAGGTTAGGTCATGTTAGGTCGGGGTGCCCGGGACATCCACGGCCCCTGGATGGGACTAAACACCACACCACCCCGAGCTTTGTGACTGCTGGGTGGATTTTGGGTGGAGGCACTCCTAGACTTGCCATCCTTCTTTTGCTGCCAATCCCGCTCCATTCCTCTCTCCAGCCGCGCCGCGCCGCGCCTCTTCAACCCTCTCCGTCCGCGCGGCTTCAACGCACGACGAAAACGCGTCACACACGCGCGCGGTGGGTACGGGACGCGCCGGGCTTCAACCCGTGGCTCAGGGCGTTGATCTTGAAAGGGGTGACCTGTGACACCGGCGCTTTGAACGTGACCTTTTGCCCTCCGAGCCTCGGGTTGCAGGGTGGAAGGGCACGGACCGGTACGGTCGGGAAGAGGGAGGGAAACCACACTGGACACCAATCCAAAGCCCATGGATTCGGAACAATATGGAAAACATATAAAATATACGATTGTCCAATACATATAACATCATAGAACCGTGAATATTTGAAGGAAAAGTCCCTCCGGAATGCATTTGGCCATATGGTTACATGTTGAAACCAACTTCAGGATGACTATGGTTACAAGTTACAATTGATCAGGCTTGTGGATCTGAAACGACCCAGAAACGACCCAGTTACGATCCTCAAGATCCCTGCAGAATCATGCAGCAGAATGGCTTTTAGGGACTGGAGTGGAGACAGAATGTCGTGATTTGTGTGGGTGCACTGAAACTTTGAGACTTGTTCGACAGCTGTGATTCATATCACCCACGTATGTGAGCTTAACAGCAAGAATGGTGATTCCAAAGACCACCCGACTCTCGCAGTCGTCGACGTGTTGTAGTTCTTTTGCAGATGACCTCGGTCTCCTCGTCGGAGTCAGGCCGACAGACCGGACGTCGTCGTTCGGACTCTCCGGTTTGGTGGTTCGTTTCTTCTTACCTCCAATCCGGATCTGTAGATCTACACTCTCGATTACTCCCCTGCACAGGACCACATGGAACCCCAGAAAAAAACGACTCGGTTGGTATGAAAGGAACATGGTCGAAACCACCACCGGACAGACCTCTTTGGTTCCATGGGATCGTTTGCGGGAGAGTAATAAGCCCTCCAATTTGAATTGGACATCCTCGTCATATGGGGGTTTATTAATCGTCTACATTACATGACAGATCATAACAGTGTCCGAAAAATCACATCACATCCTGCACCCTATGAAGTGTCTGACAAATCACCTTCTCAGAGGGTATGTGGATCCCTGTAGCAGCTTGCTGCTTGGAGGCTTGCTGTCACAGGTTGCTACGGACATGAGTCCTAGAACGGTGAAGTCCTAGAACGGTGTGCGCTTGCTGCTTGGAGTCAGGATGGCGATGTGTCGTCTCCTTGTCTCCTCCTTGTGTCATGTTGCTTTCGGCATGGGTGGCAGAGGGATGTCATGCAGAAGGAGAAGACTTGGCAGTTGATGTTTTTCCCAGACAGGTGTGTCTCTCGGTGTGTCGGTGAAAGAAAGCAGTTGATCAGGACTGATCAGTTCAGTTGATCTACTGTTCTCGTTGATCCAACGGTTGATAGTTCGGGACAGTACGAGCTTTTCAGTTCCACCCATGGGCTCTCCCCAGGTCCGCAAGTGGGTTTTTGATCCTTCGTCCGGAGTCCGGCCATTCAACGGAGGTGGGCCCCCTAAGGGGGTGTCTATTTATATCTCTTTAGAGGCTATAAATGGGATCCATTAACCGCCCCAAACCGGGGGCCCTGGTTTCTTGACTATCCCAGTTGGGTACGCTGGCGTAGTTAGGGATCCTGTGTCAGGTCACTTATAGTGGATTGAGAGTAGATGTCACAGACCCCAATGTCGGTGGTTTATTTGAACCCTCATGCAAATATGTTTTATGTCTGTGCCATCTACTCTGAGTCCCTTGTCAGGTCACTGTAACCTCTCTTGGAATGGCCTTTGGGAAGAGCATGTATTCTCCTTGGGCAAACGGAGAGGTTCGACACTTCCACGTGACGCCACTAACACGTGAAGCGGAGCCATTGACCGCCCCGGCGTGGCCAGTTGCGGCCCAGGATGGAGGACGATGCCGACCTGGAGGAGATGGAAAGCGAGGACGCGGCACCTGAACGGAGTGGGGTGCTACCAGAGTTGGCACTGTGGCACTGGACGTAGAACTAGGGTTCTAGTCGTAGAACTGACTGGGAGTAGGAATAGAACACGGTCTTCTCCTTCATGGTTTTGCTGTCCATGTTCAAACAGCAAGTCCTCGCCAGTTGCAAATCATTGTTTGAGTGGAAGGCGGTTCTCCATAGTCCACTTCCATGATTCTGAAGCCTGCCGCAAAGTGGATAACCTGCAAAACCTGTCTTGGGGGATGGGTTTCCCCACTAAGCCAGTGTAAAGTGTAAGTTCGGTTTTGATCTTCCAGGGAATCAGGAAGGGTAGTCAACTAGGTGATGGTTTCGGATGATCAGACGCCACTGACTAGGTGATGGTTTCAACCAGTCAACGTCCTGGAGGGAGCAGAACTCACCGAGAAGTTCACTTCGAGCATCGTCCTTTGACGCACACTTCCACCAGACACTCCATGGGACCACTGGCCCGAGGCCGCCGTCAGATCAGACCATCTCAGACCTTCCCAGACACTCCATGTATGGAATATATGCCGCCCCAGAAAGACGACCCCCCCCTGGCACCACCCCTGGCCTGATCGACAGTCTTATGGCAGTCCCAGACAAGGCGTGTCTGAGTATGTCGATGTCGTTGGAGTGAGCCCGCCGCCCTCCTGCGCGATCCGGAACCTCAGAGGCCTGACCGGTGGTGGTTTCGACCATGTTCCTTTCATACCAACCGAGTGGTTTTTGGGGTTCCATGGAAATCCGCAGGGGAGTGATTGACAACAACTTTGGATGGTCAGGTGAACATGCACAAAAATTATGTGACATCAATCGGATCTCGGGTGTTTTGTTTGCTCTCACCGGAGGTTTCTTCCACACATTCCATGTATAGCCCTTGCGTTTGGTCCACCCAATGCCCTTTGGCATCTCAAAATGTCAAAAATGAGATCAAACCTGTCATGTAGCCCTGATAATGAAGCAAACCCCCATAAAATGTCACTTCGCCCGTCAAAACCACCCCAAACATCCAGGAACAACCAGCAAACACCTGGCTTCAAGAGGTGGTTGTGCAATGCGCTGCGAAAGTTCGCATCCGCTCCCTTTTCGGGCCGTGTGGAGGAGCAACAGACGGTGGAACCACCACCAACGCCCAAAGAGGAGGAGAAGAAAGAGGAGGTGGGCAGCCGCCCAAGTCGTCGCTGGAGGAGG